AAGTGAAGGTGATTCTCTTCACAAGGTAGCACCTGCCATTGTCCCATTCCATTTTACAGAGTAAACATCTTGATCACTTGATACAGGACTTGATTACTGATGTGGAGAAGTGCTGAAAAAAAGGGAAGCTATCCCCATGTATAGATGACCTTGAGTAAGTTTCAAATGTAGGTAAATGTTGGGGCCAACACTGCAAGGGGTTTCTCCACTGTCCATCTCTTCATCTCTCAATGTCCTTCCTTATTTAATTATTCAATATACTTTTCTTCTCTTGCAGAAATTTTCTTTACAGTTGTGCTAAATAACTATGCAACTACCATTTAACCTTTTTATATCAAGATGATACTATCTCCCCAAGTCTTTCACTGGCTACATCTTTCTCCAAAACTACCTTCTTCAAAGGTTCGTTTCCCATCTGGCTTCAATGCCGACCACAGCAGGTGAGAGCCCCTTGGAGGTCTGTGCTGGTTCTCTTTGCTCCTTGCTCTTTGGCCCTTGCCAGATTCCTTCTCTCATTTGTAAGATAGATTCTCTGCCTGAAAATTGAAAGATGGTTGTAAGTAATCTGATTTTTATGTTAGTGAATATCTTAAACAGACAGCTCAAACTCATTGCTGATAAGGGCTTCCATGTTTTAATGAAAACTTTTAGTCTCATTTCTCATATTCAGTAACTCATTTTTTTCTCATTTCATTGTATTTTTAGATATATTCTTTCCGGCTATTACTCCTCTTTAGATTATTTTCAGTTTTGCATGCCTTGTTTGTAAAATTAGAGCGGAGGTACTTTCTATAAACTAAAAGAAAATGTAGTTTGAGTGGATTTTCAAATAAAAAGCAAATTTTTTAAGATTTCTTCATGATCATATGAAGACAAATTAGACATGCCATCTCAGACCAGAATTAAGTAAAACTCATCTGATGACTGGTCAAAACTCTGCCCTTTGCTGCCTTTTTAATGATCAGCATTATAATTTATAGTCAATTTGTTGCCCACTGATGATCCCCATGTCTTTTTCAAACGTGATTGTACAAGATGCCTTTTACATTTGATATCAGATCATATTTTTTAATAAATAATGTATCAATACTTTCACAGTCTAAGTCTTTGTAAAATGAAACTAGTGCTAAATCCTCAGACAGTTTTTAAGAAATACAGTGTAATAGAATGCCAGACAATGAAAGGAGATTCCAAGTAACAAAATTTGACTCTTGACTTTATAACTTGCACTTAATTCTGCCATAACTAAGTTTAAAAAGAGAGTAGCAACACCAGTTTAGAATCTTTGACAGAATGAAACATCAAACTCTTAAAATAGTTTTTCAGATCACAGATAAAACTATAGCCTCAGGACAATAAGGATTAGTATTGCCAATGATTTTTTAAAGCTCTTAATTACCAAGCAATCTGAAATAAGATGATTTACTAATTGTTTTTTTGACCTATTTGTAGGAATAAATGTTAAGTAAAAATGAAGAGTTTTGAAGTAGAAACCATAAAATCTGCCAGGAGTCCTTGGTCTAGCATTTATAGTTCTGGGTTTCCTTCATCACATAACTCCTTTAAGAAGCAGGAGCACACCACACAGATGTAAAACACTGTGAGATCTTAGCAACCTACTCCATTGATACTTCACGGGTGATGTGTTTCTTTCTCTTTGTGCCACTTCGGGCTCCCCATCTCCTTCAGTTTTATTATTGCAAGGATTCAAGGCATCTCAGAACATCTGAGATACCAATGAATTAAAAAAGAGAGGTGTTTACCTAGTGAATACCAAAATTCATGCTTGGAGATCTATGATAATGGCAGGGGTATAAAGAAGGTCATGACAGTTCGAGATCAAAGGGAAAATGACCTGTTAATCTTTATAACTTCATAAGGAAGAAAAAAATTGTTAAACAAACTGATGAAAACTTAAATGCAACTGGAATGAAATTACACCTAATAAGGACAGTAATATACAAATAGGGCTCCATGTATTTCCTTATTCCTCCCATTAAGATGGTTCTAAAATCTATGAGCAAGTTTGGGCAATGCTATTCTTTCCAGTTGAATGAAACAAGCATCAGCACACTGTGCAGATTGAAGTCTCTAGCTACAGTAAAATTCCCCAAAGAAATAACAGTTTCTAGAGAATAATTCAAAGAAAAAAGAATGTTCCCTAATGCAAAGAAGAAAGCAGTACGGAAAATAAATGAGGAAAAAATGGTTAGGGAGTTCTAAAAGTTTAGGGAAATGTGTGAAAAGAAGAAAGCCTTTGGAAATAATAAAAGCAATCTAAAAGAAATAGCGACTCAGGGGCCTCCCTGGTGGTGGAGGGGTAAGTCTCAGCACTATCAAGCTATCACCACTGTGGCCTGAGTTAGATCCCAGCCCAGGAGCATGGCGCAGCAGACCTCTCCTGTCTCTCCCGCTGCTCTCCTCTGCAGTGTATTTCAGTAAATCCACCTGTTCTGCTCCCCATTCTGTCTTGGTGAATCCTCTCACTTCACACAACTCTGGCCTACACCCCAGCTCTTATATGCATAAATAAATAAAAATAAGTCTTTTATAAAAAAGAGATAGCAACTCAGGAAGAAAATAATTAGAGTACAATTTTGTCATTATTTTACTACTGCTCAGAAGAAAAAGATATTGCATCTAAAGGGAAGATTGAAATATTCCCTTAAATAAAGAAAATGTGTAATTTACCAGGTATAATTCATTGAAACCTATTGAAGACTAAATTAAGTGTACTCTATCAAATTCTCTTTATTCTGATTTGAAGTTCAGAAATATGCACTGATTTCTAATTTGATTTCCAGAAACCTTGATTTTTTTTAATTTAAATTTTATTTTTATATTCCCCATACAATTACAACCCCCTTATTTTGACCCCAAGCCCTCCTTTCCCTACCCCCTATCCCCCATAGAGTGTCTCTGGTTCATAGTTGTTTGTTGATTTTGATATTTTCTTTCTTATAGTTATTCTTTTCCTGGTCCCTTATTTAAGTTTTCTAGATTCCTGCTATGAGTAAGACCATTCGGTATCAGAAACCTTGATATTAGTAAGTTGCCTTGGGTAGCACACACACCCAGTCCTGGGGGTGGTATCTCCCACAGTAAGTTAACAAATTGTTTGGTTTACATGTCATTCTCTCAGGTATTTGAACAGCAGAATTGATTTCCTAAAGCCTCGTTCCTCTAGAGACACAAATGAGGCTTCTAAATCTGCAATTTAACATCAGACCTTTGTAACCCCAGAAAACAACAGCATCACATGACACGCAGACCAGAACAAGAAGCCACGTGAGCTCATTCCAGCCAGGGCTGACATTGGGCAGTCACAGATTGCTCAAGGGACTTGTGTGGGACTTAAACACTCTGCACTTCCTGAAATTGGGAAATGGGAGGGGGAGGCCAATGTCTGTTGCCCTAATATCTGGAACAGTTCTGTCATGAACTTTTTGTTAAGATTTATTATCATTTATTTATGCATACAAGAACTGGGGTACAGGACAGAGGTGTGGGGGTGGTGAGACGATCCACCAGAGACAGAGTGGGAGCAGAATAGGTGGATCTACTGAAATACACTGTAGAGGGGAGCAGTGGGCAAGACTGGAGAGGTCTACTGCGCCATGTGGGTTAGCTCTTTAACTGGAGATGGAACTCATGCTGCAATGACTGGCTATAGCTGATAATGCTGAGACTTAATCCCTGAGCCACCAGGGAGGCCATTAGTGGGAGTTTTTAAATCTCATTAACCCAGGGCCTCCCTGGTGGTGCAAGGGGTTAAGACGCAGCCTCTGCAACAGGAGTTCCATTGCTGGCCAGGGAACAACCCACATGGCGCAGCAGACCTCTCCTGACTCGCCCACTGCTCCCCTCAGTCCATTGTACTTAGGTCAGTCTGCCTTTTCTGTTCCCCACTCTGTCTCTGGTGAATCTTCTCACCCCCTGCATCTCTGGCCTGTACCCCAGCTCTTGTATGCATAAATAAATAAATCTTTAAAAAAAAAACTCATTAACCCAAACCTTTTCTTCAGGTGGAGAAATTTTAATCAAGGGGTTAAGCTAAGATTGTAAAATGACTCTTCAACGCAGAGAGCCATTTGCTCTGCTCTAGCCATCCACTCATTCTGTTCCACTCATCTTCACCCATCATCCTTGCTCTTCCTTTATCTCTGACTTCTCATTACAGACATCCCTCTTTGCTTCTTTCTCTCCTCCCCTCTTTTACCATCTCTCAAGGCTAAATTATTATATAAAAAGAAACTGAAATAGGGCCTCCCCTATTGAGGATGGCGCAGCGATTGAGCGCTGGGCTGCAAGGCTGCCCGCAGCCTCTGCAGCGCCAGTTCGTTCCCCGGCCGCCGGCAAGGGTCCCCCCAAAGAAAAGAAAAGAAAAGAAAAGAAAAGAAAAGAAAAGAAAAGAAAAGAAAAGAAAAGAAAAGAAAAGAAAGTGAAATACATAGTACCAGTGTCAGCCATAACTTTGCTTACTTGCTCAGTCTCATGAGCACGCTCTTCCTTTAACTATAAAGAACATGGAGACTTGAAAAGCATCAAGCATTATCATAAACAACTAGCCATTTAATCGGAATTCTCTTTCATTCTCTCTAATACAAAGAGGGCAAAAGAACGTTCTCATTTCCTTTGTAATTACTCCCACTCCATGTAAGTTTATATCCTGGAGAGATAAAAATGAGCCAGTAGTCTCTGGAAGTTTCTGAACTGCCAGAGCATCTTACCAAATAAATGTTCTTCCCCACACATATTTCCAACAACTTTTAATCTTTGGCAAATGTGTTGCAGGTGCCAACTTTTTCTGTAAAGTCCAGAAAGTAAATATTTGAGAATTTGCACACCCACCTCTGTACAGAACATACTTTCTCCCTATTTGTCATCTCTCCACATAAGAGACAAATGTCTCCCCCACTATATCTGGTTTTAGTCACCTCAGCTCCCTCTCATCTCCACACTAACTCCTGTTTTCTCATTCTCCAGGTCTGATCATTCCAGAGATGGAAAAAGTCAACAGCACATTATTGACTGAGTTCATCCTTACAGGAATTCCCTACCCACTCAGGCTAAGGGTGTTTCTTTTTGTGTTCTTTTTGCTAATCTACATCTTGACCCAGCTGGGGAACCTGCTTATTCTCATCACTGTCTGGGTAGACCCTCAGCTCCATGCCCGTCCCATGTACATATTCCTAGGTGTTCTCTCCATCATTGACATGGGCATCTCTTCTATCATCGTTCCTCGGCTCATAATGAACTTCACCTTAGGCATCAAACCCATCCCATATGGTGGCTGTGCTGCTCAACTCTATTTCTATCACTTTCTGGGCAGTACCCAGTGCTTCCTTTACACCCTGATGGCCTACGACCGGTACCTGGCAATATGTCGGCCCCTGCGCTACCCTGTCCTCATGAGTGCTAAGCTGAGTGCCTTGCTTGTGACTGGTGCTTGGGTGGCAGGATCCATCCACGGGGCTATCCAGGCCATCTTAACCTTCCGTCTGCCCTACTGTGGACCCAACCAGGTAAACTACTTCTTCTGTGATATCCCCGCAGTTTTGAAGCTGGCCTGTGCGGATACCACAGTCAACGAGATGGTGACATTTGTGGACATTGGAGTGGTGGTTGCCAGTTGCTTCTCCCTGATCCTCCTCTCCTACATACAGATCATTCGAGCCATCCTAAGAATCCAAACAGCTGATGGGCGGCGTCGGGCCTTTTCAACCTGTGGAGCCCATGTCACTGTGGTGACCGTGTACTATGTGCCCTGTGCCGTCATCTACCTGAGGCCTGAAGCCAACAGCCCCCTGGCTGGGGCAGCTGCCCTGTTCCCCACAGCCATCACGCCTTTCCTCAACCCCCTCATCTATACTCTGCGGAACCAAGATGTGAAGCTGGCTCTGAAGAGAATGATGAAAGGTCCGGTGGCTAAGACTGAGGTTTGAATGTGTCTTCTCCCCACTGGGGATACTTCATATTTGTAATTTTTTCCAATGTTTAAATTTCAGCAAAGTTTTGTACTTCCTGCTTTTTCTCTTTTATGTAGACACATAGTTTCAGTACACTATGTAGATATGCTATGTTCAATATGTTCCTATAGTGTCAGTGATGTTAAAACCAATACAGTTTAAGGTAAAATGCTTCTTCCTAGAAGCTCCTTAATATCCCCTACAGATCAACACCTCTCAGCTGCTCCAAGAGTAGAGAGTGAGACTAAAGACTCTGAAAATAGCAAAAGCTGCCACACTTAGACATTCAGGTGATTGGCATATCAAAAGTTTCCAATGAACTTTTACGCCTCTAGGTTGACATTGGTCAAGTCTTCAAAATATGAACTCCATTTCTTTTGATGGGGAGAATGCTCAGCTCTGTCCCAATTGGTATATACCTTAGGAGTTATTACTAGAGGATAAGTTACACAAGCTCCACTGTATGTGTCTTAACAGGCCTAGTTCTGGGAACTTCCTGAGGCTACCAAATTGTGTGAAGAGTAATAAAGTGCTTATTTTACCTTGCCTGTTAAAAGAAAAAAAAAGCTTCCTTAAACTAGTGTTTTCATAAATCAAACCAAATTAAGCAATCCAAAAGAAAGAATGCTATAAAATCTTTTCAAATTAAATTCCCCCACTTCAGATATAAGTAGTTATTATGGAAAATAGTATGGAGAATCTTTAAAAAAGTTTAGAATAGATTAATGCTCTATTGATATGATCATATGATCCCACCATCTCACTTCTGGATATTTAGTCACCTGTAGGATAACAGAACACTGTTCAAAGAGTTACATGCACTCCAATGGTCATCATACCACCATTTGCAATAGCCTAGAGTTGGGAACAGTCTGAATGCCCATTGATGGATAGGTGAACAAAGAAGATTTTATTTATATATATAAAATGTATAATAATTATATATTATATATAAATATAATAACATACACACAATGGAATGCTACTCAGATATTAAAAAAATAAAGATGAGGGGCCTCCCTGGTGGCACAAGGGGTTAAGATGCAACCCATGAAGCTATCTGCAGCCACTGCAGCACAGAGTTCCAGCCCCAGCCAGGGAGGGGACCCACATGTCTCAGCAAACCTCTGCTGACTCACTCGCTGCTCCCCTCAGCAGTGGATTTCAGTAGATCTGCCTGTTCTGTTCCCCACTCTTTCTCTGGTGAAACCTCTCACCACCACCCCCCCATACCTCTGGCCTATACCCAAGTTCTTGTATGCATAAATAAATAAATTAAAAAAAAAAAGTCACCCTCAGCCGCTACAAGCTGCCTGAATTCCTTGCCACATTAACTCCTCCATCTTCAATGTCAGGACAGAGAATCTCCCTCTCATGTTTCAAAGCTCTCTCTCCATGAAAATCCACTCCTTTTTATGGACTCGCCTTATTAAGTTAGGCCCACAGAGGATAATCTTCCTATTTTAAGATCAACTCATTTGGTTTCTTAATTATACCCACAAAATCCCTCCACATCAGAACCTAGAGAGAATTTTGATTGTATTTGATGACTGGGAGAAAGTAAGTGCACCAGAAGCCAAAAATACTGGCAGCCATCTTAGACAGAGGCTTGAAAGGTTCATAACTTAATAGTTTCTCTCAAATTCCTCAATTTTCATACTGGATAAAATAAGCGTTTTTCTAGAAATCACCTGCAAGAAGTTCAGTTACCAATTATAAATGGTGTGAGTGTGTATTGTTAATGCCCATTCATCTCACCTACATTAAATTATTTCAACTAATTTTTTGCCAGATTGTTAGGCAGTTCTTTTTTGTTTTAATTTCTCTAATAGAAATATTGCACACTTTTAATAAAAAAGATTTACCATTCAGGGCCTCCCTGCTCGCACAGGGGTTAAAGTCTCAGCACTATCAAGCCATTGCTGGCCACTACAGCATGAATTCGATCCCTAGCCAGGGAGCTAACTCATTAGGCACGGCAGACCTCTCCTGTCTCACCTGCTACTCCCCTCGGCAGTGTATTTCAGTAGATCCATTTTTGTCATCCCACTCTGTCTCTGGTGAATCCTCTCACCCTCCCTGCACCTCTGGTCTACACCCCAGTTCTTGTATGCGTCCATAAACTAAATAAATCTTTTTAAAAAAAAAAAAAATCTGCCTGTTCTGCTCTCCACTCTTTCTCTGGTGAATCCTCCACTCCCTAAATCTCTGTCCTATACCCCAGTTCTTCTGTGCAAAGATAAATAAATCTTTAAAAAAAAAAAAAAAGGACAGGGCCTCCCTGGTGGCACAAGGATTTAAGATGCAACCTATGAAGCTATCCCCAGCTGCTGCAGCATGAGTTCAACCCCCAGCCAGGGAGCTACCCACATGGTGCAGCAGACCTCTCCTGACTCACTTGCTGAAGCCCTCAGCAGTGTATTTCAGTCAATCTTCTGTTCCCCGCTCTGTCTCTGGTAAATCCTCTCACCCCCACAACTCTGGCCTGTACCCCAGCTCTTATATGCATAAATAAATAAATCTTTAAAAAGAAAAAAAAGACAAATGAAATTGAGCCAATCCAGGAGCAAAGGTTTTGTCCTCAGCCGGAAACCTAGATACAAAGTTATGGTTCTTTAACTTTTCCTTAACAAGTTCTGTAGGAGGGGCCTCCCTGGTGGTGCAAGGGATTAAGCACCGCACTATGAAGCAATCCGCAGCCTGGTGAATACTCTCACACCCGGCATCTCTGGCCTCTGCCCCAGCTCTTATATGCATAAATAAATAAATCTTTAAAAAAAAAAAGTTCTGTAGGAGAACTCTAATAACCACAAATGTAGAAATGATGAAATAAAGGTTAATATTTTACAATGATGTGGAAAGAAATTGTTCTAAAAATTTAAATTTCTGAGGCCTCCCTGGTGGCACCAGGGGTTAAGATGCAACCTATGAAGCTATCCACAGCCTCTGCAGCATGAGTTCGATCCCCTGCCTGGGAGCTACCCACATGGCACAGCAGACCTATCCTGGCTCTCCCACTGCTCCCCTCAGCAGTGTGTTTCAGTACATCTGCCTGTTCTGCTCCCCACTCTGTCTCTGGTGAATCCTCTTACCCCACACACACACACCTCTGGCCTGCACCCAGTTCATGTATGCATAAATAAATAAATCTCTAAAAAAAAAAATTTTAAGTTCTTTGAAGACAAAATACAAGGCAGGTGGGATAGGAAATATTTTCTTTCCTCTCCTTCTTTTCCTGTACTTTCCATAGTATGGTCACCAAATGTTTCTGCCATGCTGGAGATGCTCAGTGTAAGGTGGAGGCTGGGGCAGGGATGGGGCAGGAAAGGGGAACTTGAAACTGCTGTCACCTGCATTCCGGAGACCATGGGCCTGATAAGCAGAGATGAAAGAACAACCAGTTCCGAGAGGAAAGCAACTTCTTTGAAAAGGAAACAACCCAAATGCCCAAAAATAGATGACTGGATCAAGAAGATGTGTCATATATACACAATGGAATATTATTCAGCAATCAAAAAAGATAAACTCGGGCCTCCCGGGTGGCGCAGCGGTTGAGCGCTGGGTTGCGAAGCTGCCCGCAGCCTCTGCAGCGCTGGTTCGATTCCCGGCTGTTCCCCGGCCACCGGAGGAGGGTCACGCATGGCGCGCAGACCTCTCCTGTCACCCGCTGCTCCCCTCAGCAGTGTACTTCGTTCCTTCTGCCTGCTCTGCTCCCTGCTCTGGCTCTGGTGAATTCTCTCACCCTCCCGCGCTTCTGACTATACCCAGTGCTTGTATAAATAAATAAATAAATAAGTAAATAAATAAATCTTTAAAAAAAAAAAAGATAAACTTGTTAGGAGTCATGCCATTCGCAGCAACGTGGATAAAACTAGAAGAAATTATGCTCAGTGAAATAAGCCAGAAGAGGCCTCCCCGGTGGCACAGCAGTTGAGCGCTGGGCTGCAACACTGCCCGAAGCCTCTTCAGCACCGGTTCGATCCCCGGCCACTGGTGAAGGTCCTGCATGGCACGCAGATCTTTCCTGCCGCACCCGCTGCTCCCCTCAGCAGTGTATTTCGTCGGTCTGCTTGTTCTGTTTCCCGCTCTGGCTCTGGTGAATTCTCTCACCCTCCTGCGCTTCTGACTGTACCCAGTGCCTGTATAAATAAATAAATAAATCTTAAAAAAAAAGAAAGAAAGAAATAAGCCAGAAGGATAAAGAAAAATATCAGATGGTTTCACTTATAGCAGGAATAGAGGGGAACCAAATAAGATATCAGTGTAAACAAATAATAAAGGTAAAAAACACAACAAAGCAAAAACAAACAATTATAAAGGAGAGACATACTGCAGGGGAGGAGGAGGGAGAGGGATTGGAGGGAGGAAGGGAGGCGCAAGGGGACTGAGGTGATGGTGCAGGGGTGCATTTGTGAAGGAAATTCTATGGGGACTACACCTGAGGGGGGGAACCAAATATTGTTTAAAAATGAACAATGATGTAAAAATTTTTTTTTTTAATTTTTAAGTAGATTAAAAAAAAAAGTAACTTTGACTCCACATTTTCAACCTCCAGCCAAGGCCAGACCCTGCCCTATAAAAGCTTGCCCTCATCCCCCAAGGGGCCCGACTTTTCTGGCCTCCACAATAAAATCTCTGCCTTTCAGAAACTAGGCCTGACTCTCTCTCTCTCTCTCTCTCTCTCTCTCTCTCTCTCTCTCTCTCTTTACTGCACCAAAACCTTTCACTCAGGAGATGTGCTGGGTAACTTTCTTGATAACCTTTGGACCTGAGTTTAAGTATGTCAAGATGATTGGCGGATCTGAGTGAAAGATGTTCAGGAATCTGTATTTTGGGTCTTTTTTGTTATTGTTTTTTTTAAGATTTATTTTTATTTATTTATGCATACAAGAACTGGGGTGTAAGCCAGAGGTGCAGAGGGTGAGAGGATTCACTAGAGACAGAATGGAGTGCGAAATAGTGAGATCTACTGAAGTACACTGCTGAGGGGAGCAGCAGTGGCTGGTGATAGCTTGACAGTGCTGAGACTTTAACTCCTGCGCCACCAGGGAGGCCCTAAAGTAACTCACTTTTAGTA